TTTCATCAAAGCAAATCTCCTAGATAAGTGTTTATAAAATCATAAGATAATGAAGAACACAATACTTAGTTTTTTCCCCTTAAAAGAAAGATAAAAATCTCTCCCACAAAGTCTCTCGCTGATCCATGCAATGTTAGTACATCCTCTTACAGATTCTCTCAAAATTCCTTCTCCAATCACTCCAAAAAGGTAGAAATCTACATTTTTACTCCTATTCTAAGATCTATAAACATTCTCCATATTTTTTAACTCACACATAGACTTTTTCTGACATAAAATCACTCTATTATAGTGTTGGAACGAGTTTCCCAAGAGATGCCCAAGCAACCTTCCAAAAATTGTCTAAATTCAATGTATATGGGCAAATAACAGTGCCTAAAGCCGTCAGCGCTATTTTTGGGCGTTGTCGGTGTCGTTTTTTGTTGTTCTCTGGACTCTGGCGTTGTTGGCGCCACCCTGCAGCAACTCCACCGTTTTGCTCCGTTTTAGCTACGTTTTGCCTCGTTTCAGTTGCATTGCGTTCCTAACAGATAGACCTACAAAATAAGCATGAAAACATCCTTTCTTTATAGTATAATTTCATTCAAAAATGTGTGAGAAGTGTAACTGAGATTAAGCATAGAAAGACATATTGAATGTGCTAAGTTAGAATTTTATTTCTTGCTCATTTTTACTCCAAATTGCACCATTTTTGCTTCATTTTCTCCAAAAATCCATTTCTTGTACCTGAAACTAAAAATATGCAAATTGCCTTCCTTTAAAGTGTATTATCATTAAAAATTATTAAAATTGAGCATAAAATATATATGAAAAAGTAGGTAATTTTTAAACGTATCAGCCGCCTCCCACGCCAACTGCCACACAGCCTGCAGTTCACAAATCGTAGCTCTGTCTGACGCAATCCAGAGCGTCTATTCAATACACGTGCGATCCAACGGCTCCTGGTCATCGTCCCCAACTGACTAAACATGAGAACCACACATTTTCTAAACCTAATATCTCGCTCAATACTTAATTAAATCACATGGGGCTTGTTCCTATAGCTTCATCTAATCAAGGAGAACATATCCATATGGTTAGATGCAATTGAAATTAAACTTTTCTTCACAATTAGTGAAACTGAGCACAATTTTATGGTTAGTGAGCTATATCTTCATCCAAGAGGTGTGGCCTCGATTGGATTGGTTGTGGACGTTCGTTGTGACCTTAGGAATCCCCTCCAAGAACCAATTTGAGCTAAGGTTGAGTCTAAGAAAGAGTTCGATTAAGGGGTTATTCGAGTTTGGTCTATGAGTGGGTTGGAGTGCTCAAAATGTTGGGGCTTTGATGGGCACTTCCTCTCTTGCTCTTTTGAAGTTCAAGAGTGAGTTAATTTGAAGTTTGAGAGAGTTTGATGGAGTGACAGAAAATCCTCTAGTTTTTTAGCTTAAAATTCCAGCAGGAAAGTGGCTATGGATGGCTGAGGACAGTGGGGTTAAACTTAGGAGGGTTGAGAAAAGCTCTAGTGAGAATTTGTCAGAGCTTCCCCAAGGAATTGTATGCCCTCCATGTTTGGTTGTGGAGGAGGGTTCTTATAGCCTTGGCCAAAAGGAAAGCCTCAGGATATGATTGGCTGGTGCCAATGAGTTGAGTTGGAGTGTTGAGTGGTGCAAGTGACAAATTGGGGAGTAACATATTGGATGGGTGCAATTGGGTTCAAACCATAGGATGAGTCTTCTCGTTTTTGAGTTTTCTGGCGGCTAGGTAGGCCTACCAGGGCTTGGCAGGTGACTAGCTAAGTCAGGAAGCTCAGGGAAGTTTATTTGTGATGGCTTAGGGGCTTGGGGGCTTGGGAAGGTTGGTGGCAAACATCTCTTTGGTTTAGCCACTTTTGGGAAGAAATCCCTCAAATCAAGGGACACTTGGTCCATGGCTCAGCTAGTGACGGCTAGGTGGATCTAGGTTGGGTCTTAGAGTCTACAAGATGGTTGTGGTGGCCAAGGTTAGGCTAGACCAAGTGGCTTGAGGTGAATTTGGGGTTTGGGTTCAAAATCATGGTTTGGACTTGGACTTAGGTTTGGGCTTGGCTAAAGTTTGAATTTTGGTTAATTGGAATGCCAATTTGGTTTAGAAGATTGTTATAAGTGATTGGGAGGTCAATTGGGTGGAGATTGGGAGGTCATGGAGTTTAATTTGGAGAAATTTGGAATTTTGGGCAAAATTGGGGGGTTTTCATTTTAGTTGGATTTAGGCTAAGTTTGAGTTTGGGTCTAGACCATTGAGAGTTCAAATTGGTCTAGGGAAGTGTTATGAAGAGTTTAGGGTTCAAAATTGGAGAAATTGGATTGGTTATGGGGTTCAATTTGATGGAATTTAGGGGTATGGTCAAATTGAGGATTTTGGCTCAAAATTGAAATTAGGGTTTGGAGGTTGGTTCAATTGGTCTCCAAAGTGGTGTAGATTGGGATTGGGTAAGTTGATGTACAATTTAGGTTTGAAATTGAGTGAGATTTGAGTGAATTTTGTGGCAATTGAGATGAATTTGAGGAATTTGGGCCCTTAGGGGCAGAATTGGGATTTTTGTCAAAATTAGTCAATTTGGTCGAATTGGACCAATTGGGTGGCTGGGATTGGTTTAGGGGAGGTTTAGAATGATTTTGGAGGTTTTGGAAATTTTTCAGACATGAGGGGTATTTTGGTGGCAAATTTAGGGGTATTTTGAGAATTTTGGGGAAAATGTGGTGTTTTGGCCAATTTAGATGGCTTATGCTTTGTCCTAATTTTTGGAGAAAATTTGAGGATTTGGGCCACTTCTGAAAATTTAGGGTTACAGGGACATTTTGGTAAATTTGGATAAGTTGTGGCCTAAAAGGACAAAATTGGGTGTTTAGGTACAATTGAAGGTCATTAAGTATGTCAATCATGATGATTACCTTACTTGAGCCATGGAACTAAGGGGAAGCTTAATTTGGATTCTCCAGGTGTTGGTCCGAGCTACCCTAGCCAAAGGGCTAAAAGCTTGTCGACCACCCACATGAGTTTCCAAAAGAGAAAAGGGAAATAGGTTCAATGGGTGTAATTTTGGGGTTTTAGGACAAGTGGGGAATTGTGATGTGTTTGACTGTGTGAGAGACCAAACCCTAGCCACCGATGGTTGCCCTAAGTTTAACAGTTTTATGGGGACTCATCCTTGAATCCTCACATGTTGGTCTCAACCTTCCAAGTGTTGGAGGTTCATGACTATACATATGGATTCCAAAGAGAGTAAGGAAATGGTATAAATTTCTATGTAGGTGGGTTCCATCTCTAGTCTTCTAGGATAGCATTCTTCTTTTTCCTCTCAAGTGATTAGTAGGGTGATCATTTCTTCAAATTTTTATCTTTAAAGCATCGTAGTGATTGCATGAGCGTTTGTAACATTCAAATTATCAAATGACACTTTAAAAATGAAGTAGATAAAAGCTCCTAACTCCATTTACTAATAGGTGATTAGAGCTTTGGCTATCACCACATTATTAAAAAAAGTCATGCTACGGGTGTGTAAACAAGCCAAGCTTGAGCAAGCCCAAGTTCAGCTTGTGTTCGACTCGTTAAAAATATCATTGAATGTGTTTCGTCCGTTAATATATCGAGATCAAAAAAAAATATTCGTATTATGCTCATTGGCTTAGCGAGTCAAAAACACGAACTGTTCCCAGTAAACCATTTTAACATATCTATTCTTAATCATAATATTAAAAAGGTGAGAACTATATTTAAATATTATTATTTATATTAAAACATTCACTTAAATACAATTAAATATATTTTATTTCACACACACACACAACCGAACAAAAATAAACAAATCATAGTTCGTTTTCAGCTCATTTATATATCAAGCACAAAAAAAAATATTCATGCGACGAATCAAACACTAGCTACTTAACAAGCCAAACACGAGCAATTTACAAACA